CGTGGTCTCTGGTGTGTGTCAGGGAGTGTCCATCTGATTTTGACATCCCGGTGAATAAGCCCTCCCAGTCACCCAAGACTCTACAGTGTCCCAGCACTGCTAGTGTGAGCACTTCTGTTACCCTAGAATCAGGACACTTGTTGGGAAGGTGTGTAGGACAGGGGACACCCTGGCTTTTGTTCTGGGGGAAGAGCCAACCTGAGAAGGATCCCAGCCCCGAGGACCAGTGCTGATGGGTGGGAACCTGAGGCCTGGATGTAGTCAGAGGGAGTTCATTCACAGTTGCAAGAAGGAACCACATCAATGGATAGACCTAACAGGGTCCATACATACAGTGGAATATTATTCAGGCCTAAAAAGGAAGGAAATTCTGACACCTGCTGCAATATAGGTGTACCGGGAGGAAATTATGTTCAGTGAAATAAGCCAGAAGCAAAAGGACAAATACTGCATGATTCCACTTCTAGGGGGCCCTAGAGTAGTCAGCTTCACAGAGACAGGATGGTGGCTGCCAGGGGCTGGGGGAAGAGGCATGGGGAGTTAGTGTTCAGTGGGGGTACCTGCAGTTTGGAAAGATGAGAAAGTTGTAGGGATGGATGCTGGTGATGTTTGCACACAGTGCGAATGTACGTGATGTGACTGAACTGTACATTTAAAATGGTTAAAATGGCAAACTTTGTGTCTTGCCTATTTTACCATAATTTTAAAAGGGAAAAAGAGTGAACTTCAGCCAGACCTGGACACTGGGCCAAGGATGGAGGTGCAGAGGTGAGGCGAGGCTGACACTCGCCTATCAGGGCTCCCCACTGGTTGCCACAAGCGTGGGTTGGGAATGTCGGGCAAGGTGTGTGGAGGTGGAAGGTCCAGCCTAGGGCACTGGGAGGAGGACAGCAGCAGGCAAGGGCCTGTTCTCACAGGTGCTCTGCCCCCCACCCTGAATCGGGTTTCTCTTCCCTTTTTGCCCATGGCTGGAATTAGCCAGTTCTCCCATTGACAGAAGTACCTCTGTGAATGGATGAAGGCATCTGGCAGGTTGGCAGAGAAGCTGAGACCTCCCACAGAGGCTGTCCTCAAACTGGGTTTGGTAAGTGGGTGAGGGATGCCAGCTCTCATGGGCCCAGCAGTGCAGGGGGGAAGAGGGCAGGCTGACACTGTCTGGACCCAGCATGCCCACACAGAGCTGGCACGGTCAGGGAGGCAATGCTCTGTATTTCCAGTTCTAGAGAGGATAAACACTAGAGTTCAAGCACCTCTCTGCTCCCCTTCATGAATGTTGGGGTGACGTACCATCGATTCTTGTGACTCATGGTGGTTATGTTTATAAAGTCTCCACAGAGGCTGACCATCCAAGACCAAGTTATTGCTTCTAAGGGAAGGATGGGTTAGATTCCATCCAGGCTCTGGGCACATTTTTGTGAACTGATTGATATGTAACCTTGTTTTATGTGTGTTTCTGGCTAAAGACGCCTTAATTGATAACCTGTTTTGTTTTTTTTTTTTTGAAACAGAGTCTCACTCTGTTGCCCAGGCTGGAGTACAGAGTCACAATCTCCACTCACTGCAAATGCTGACTCCCAGGTTCAAGTGATTCCCAGAGTAGCTGGAATTACTGGCAACTGCCATCATGTCCAGCTAATTTTTGTAATTTTGTACAAATGGGGTTTCACCATGTTAACCAGGCTGGTCTTGAACTCCTGACCTCAGGTGATCCACCTGCCTTGGCCTCCCAAAGCGCTGGGATTACAGGTATGAGCCACCATGCCCACTGATAACCTGCATATTGTTGATTCATCAACCTTGAACCCACAGCAAAGAGCACTAGAACTGACGCCTTAACCAGCTTCTCTAATGCATGGAATTTTTGGTTTTTTTTCTGAGACAGGGTTTCCCAGAGTCTGATTTTGAAAAGTAGTCCTGGCCGGGCACAGTGACTCTTGCCTGTAATCCCATCGCTTTGGGAGGCCAAGGCGGGTGGATCACCTGAGGTCAGGAGTTCAAGACCAGCCTGGTTAACATGGTGAAACCCGGTCTCTACTAAAGATACAAAAAATTAGCTGGTCATGTGGCATGTGCCTATAATCCCAGCTACTTGGGAGGCTGAAGCAGGAGAATTGCTTGAACCTGGGAGGCAGAGGTTGCAGTGAGCTGAGATTGTGTCATTTTACTCCAGCCTGGGTGACAGGGCGAGACTCCATTTCTAAATAAATAAATAAATGCTTATAACTCTGTGCTGGCAACCAAGAGCTGGAGCCGATTACAGACGGGGCCACGTGTGGAAGTGTGGATAGGAGAGACAGAGACAGGGACTGAGAGAGAGAGAGAGAGAGAGAGAGAGAGAGAAAGAGAGAGAGAGAAAGAGAGAGAGAGATGGGATCAGGGGTAAGGGCAGCACTTTCTGTTCATCACATTTAACCTGATAATGCCCCTCACACTGTTTTACCCCCCATGGTACAGATATAAAACTGAAGCTCTGAGAGACTAAATGATGCTTGCAAGGCCTAATACTAGTGATCAGAGAAGCTGGCATTTGTGCACTCACTGTGTGATGACAAAGCTTGCAGTCTCAACCATGATATCACGTGCCTCACCCATGGGAGGCTGGATGAGGGGCTGAAAGAGCTGCATCATGAAACCCTTGCCCAGCTGGGTCCTCTCTTTCTCTCTGGAAAGTGAGGAGGGCCCCCCAGGTGCTGTCCCTATGCAGTGATGAAGAGGGGGTGAGTCCTCAGCCCTGCTCCTGTCCTGCCCACATCTGGGTCACACTGGGGATAACATGTCAGGTGTGGCTGGCCATGAATGAGTCCTGGTGGGCAGGAAGACAATACAAATGTCTGTGGCTGGTGTGACTCATCTTGGGCCTTCAGTCACAGCCCCAAATTCCTGTACCAGGGCCTGGCCCTCCCGTCATTAGTCCTAAGACTGGTCATGCAATGTAGGAGGGATGGGTGGGTACAGGAGGCTAGAGGTCCTGATCCCAGCTGACTCAGCCAGAAGCCTCAGTTCTGCCGAAGCCCCGACTGTGAGGTGGGAGTGGAGGGCAGTTTGGGCAGGACTGTGGGCAGTGCCCCCTCCAGCAAAGCCAACATGTCAGGAACAGATGGGACCACGATCTGGTTCCCAGCTCTCCTGACTTTACCTGGGACTTCGGGCCTGACCCAGCCGTGCTCTGGGCCTCCATCTACAAAGTGTCTGTGATGAGGTAGTGAGCCCAGGTATTCACTATGGCTCAAAGCTCCCACACCCTGGGATTCCCGCCCAGAGACTGGAGACAGCCTGCTCCCAGCTCCCCTACCCCTCCAGGCAGGGCAAAAGCGGGAATGCAGCGGATGGGAGAAGCTCCGGTGAACATGAACCACCTGACCAGTCCAGGTGCTTCTCAGGTGACATTTGGAATCTTGGCAGCAACACCACCAGTCATTCAGCAGATGAGGACACTGAGCCACAAAGATGGGGGAGGCCTGAACCCAAAGCTCACATACTCTGCATTCTTCCAGGCCTCACCGAGAAGTGGGAGGGCTTCTTGGCCCACTCCAGTTGGGGGCGGGATGGCTTGGCAGACCAGGGTCCTCCAGTGAGGAGCTCTGGACCAAGGGCTCACTTCTCCCAGTGGACTGCCATGGGCTTGCTCCACCCAGTGCCAGGGGTAAGTCAAGGTTAAGGGGACTCTTAGGCATCTCCTAAGGGCATACTACAATCTGAATGTTTGTGTCCCCACCAAAGGTCATCTGTTGCCATCCTACCCTTTAAGGTGATGGTCTTTGGAGGTGGGGACCTTTGGAAGGTGATTTGATGAGAGGGTGGCACCCGCATGAATGGAATGGTGCCCTTATCAAAGAGGCCCAGAGGTGAGGATGTGGTAAGAAGGCACCCTCTATGTGCCATGCCCCTCACCAGGAACCAAGTCTGCTGGCATCCCGAACTTGGGCTCCAGCCTCCAGAATGGTGAGATAGGGACATAAGCCAGTCACAGTGGCTCATGCCTGGAATCCCAGCACTTTGGGAGGCTGAGGCAGGTGATACTTGAGGTCAGGAGTTCAAGATTAGCCTGGCCAACATGTTGAAATCCCATCTCTACTAAAAATACAAAGAATTAGTCAGGTGTGGTGGTGCATGCTTGTAATCCCAACTACTTGGGTGGCTGAGGCAGGAGAATCAATTGAACTAGGGAGGTGGAGGCTGCAGTGGGCCGAGATCACGCCATTGCACTCCAGCCTGGGGGAAGAAAAAGGAGAGAAATCAATCTCTGGTTTGTAAGCGGCTCCGCCTGCGGTATTTTGTTTTTGCACCTGAAGGGACAAAGACCGAGCAGCAGGAATCATCTAGGCCTCAGCTTCACAAACCACTTCCCATCCCCCAGTTTCTGCAGGGCCCCGACCCCAGCCCCAGCACCTGTCATTCACTTTTTTTACTTACAAAGTAAACTTTGAAATGGACACTTCCTGTTACTGTCATTCAATACAAAAATCCCTACCACTTGAAGACAATCCATACAGAAAGCCTGCGGCAACGCGAAGACGTTAAACTCTTCGGCTGCTGGTACCTGCTTTAGGCTGACTCTCCCCGTGTCAGTAAGGACGAGATAAAGTGACAAAGGGATGTTAAGGATCAAGTGGGCCCAGACCGCAACTCCCTCCCACACCTCCTCACTAAATGGATGACAAGGAACAGTGAATGAAGGACATGCAGTGACTTTTGGAGTTCTGGAAAAATGCTTTCCGGAGTCGCTGGGAGGAGCTCCCAGGCTGGACCCCTCCTCACAGGTCCTCCCCCACTCCCCTCCCAGCCCCTGAATCAGCCCCAGCCCGTCTCAGCCCCCGTCCCCGACCCATCCCTGTCCCAGCGCCGGTCCCCGCCCCCATTCCCCTTCCAGGCCTCGTCCCCGCCCCAGCCCCCTCCCAGCCTCCGTCCCCGCCCCCTCCCCGCCCCCAGCCCCCTCCAAGCCCCGCCCGGGAAGGTGTCGTGCCCGCCCATTGGGCCTCCCGCCGGCTCATTTGCATGGTCCGAGGGGGGCGGGGCCGACGTCGCTCCGCGAATCGCCTGGCTGAGACGCCTAGGCCGGGTCCAGAGACCTTGCCGGCGCGGGGTCGAGCGGCTGCGGATCTGAGCCTGAGCCGATCCCCGATCCCGACCCAGATCCAGACCCGCCGCCGCCATGTACGACGCCGAGCGCGGCTGGAGCTTGTCCTTCGCGGGCTGCGGCTTCCTGGGCTTCTACCACATCGGGGCGACCCGCTGCCTGAGCGAGCACGCCCCGCACCTCCTCCGCGACGCGCGCATGTTCTTCGGCGCCTCGGCCGGGGCGCTGCACTGCGTCGCCTTCCTCAGCGGGATCCCGCTGGGTGCGTCCGGGGCTGCCGCCAGGGCTCCGCGCGCGGAGGTGGCGCCCCTTAGGCCGGGGAGCGGTGGGGAGGGGGTACCCTGGGTCTCGAGGCCTCGGGAGGAGCGGGAATCGGGCGCGGACACGGCGGGGTGCATCCCGAGGGTCCCCTCCGGGACAGATGCTTCCTCCGGGGGCGCTGTTCCCTGGGCCCGGGAAGCGGGCTTTGGAACCCTTGAGCGGTCCGGGCCGGCGCGCAGGCTTCCGAAGCCTGGGACTCTCGCGTCCCCACCCCTGCCCCCATCTGGCGCCGGTGCATGAAGGGAGTCCCTCGCTTCCGGACTGAGAGCCGGGGCGTCTCGGAGCGACGAGGATCTGAGACCGGGACCCGGGGCTGAGGGTAATGTTTGCCCCTGCGGTCCCCGGGTGTCCAGTGTCCTCTCTGGAGGTGCAGGTGATTTGCCAGAGACCAAGATGCCCCAGCGTGGACACCTTCCCTCTGGGGGTTGAGGAACTCAAGACGCCCCGCGCCTAAGCTCTTTGCGGCACAGCCCAGCCTTCTGGAAGGGCGACCCTGGGCATCCTCCAGGGCAGGCTAACTGGAGTCTTCCTCCTTTTCCTCCTCCTCCAGTGTTTGGGACCCTTCCTGGGGGCTGGAGTGCATCCCTGGACACCCCCCAATCCCATCCTTTCCTCTAGTATCCCCTGACCTGGGCCCACCCTCCCCCTCCAGCTCAGTACCCCTGGAAGTGAGATTCTGTGTATTTGAATCTTGTCCTAATGAAACATTCATCCACGTGAGTACCTGTGGAAGGAGCAGGTGGAGGGTTTGTTTCTTACTAGCGGAACTACTGGGGTGTGATATCCTTCCCGGGAATTTGCTGTCTAGTGCTGGAGGCGAGGAGAGGGTTCTGAGCCAGCTGGCAGGGGCTGGGGCAAGAAGCAGTGTGGAGCTGTTGACACCCACAGGTCCCCAGGCGGGAGATCATGCCTCTATCAGCCCCGTTTTATCTGGGCTTCCTTAACAATGGACTCTTTGCCCTGCCTGCCAGAGCCAGCAGGGAGTGACTGTTTAGTGGTGAGGAAGTCCCTGCTGGTGGACCAAGCCCTGCCATTGGGTAGGAGCAGTTAGCAGTCCCTGGGCTGACTGGGAAGTGGGGATTGGGGATTAGGGATTAGACAGTTTTGGCTGTCTGCCTTCCCCAGCCACGGGGAGAGGAGCAAAGGGCAGACAGTGTGGTCTCTAGGAGGATTAGACTGGCCACATGATCATCTGCACACCCTGGGCTTTATCAACAATACAAGTCAGCTCTTGTATCCCAAGGTGACCTGCGGACAACCATGTGGACAAATGTTTATACTGGGACAGAATTCAAATGCAGTGATCCCAGGAGCCTAAAGTACAGTCACTCTGGCATAGAAAGGATTCCTTAGTGGGTGGAGGACAGGTGCAGCCTGGGGCTTTCCCCAGCAGGACACGAAGAGGCTCAAGAACCACCAAGTCCCTGGAAAGTGGATCTGGAGGCTTTGGGAGGAGTCATTCCCTATGTTCCAGGGTTCCGAGTTCCTGCCTTAACTCCATGTCTCAGCGGGCTGTGCACTTGGAGGCTGCTGAGCATGACCCAGGGGCTGCATCCTGGACACAGCTCCTCCGTGCTCAGAGCTGAGGCTAACTTGGCAGGAGGGGCAGGCTGAACCTGCAGCCACATGCAATTCCACCCCTGTTGGCCATGCTTGGAGGGGCCAGTCAGGGAAGGAGAGCTGTGAGTGAAGATCAGACTTGGGTCAGGACAGGCTGAGGCATGCCTGTCCCTGTGCATCTCAGGATTTATGGCTGGCAAGGGGTCAGGCTGGGAGGGGCTGTCCTGCATGGCAGGAGAGTGCAGATCAGCCCGAGAGGCCAGGCCAGTGGGCGAGGTCAGATCTTCTGCACCAAAGCTCTCATGCTGATATGTTCCTGGCTTCTGACTTTGTGAGGCATGGAGGTGGGGCCTGCTCACCTGGGCTTCGGGAAGCCAGAGGCTCGTTCCTGTGGCTGAGGCCTACAGTAGTGCTGTCTGGTAGGAATATACTGCAAGCCATGATGTCACTGTGCATTTCCTGGAAGCCACATTGAATAAAGTAAAAGACATAGGTAGAATTAATTTCATTGAGCCTGCTATATCCAAAATATCGTTTTCACATCTAATGAATATAAAAAATTACTAATGAGACATTCCATAAGCCACTGAAGTCCAGTTTGTATTTTACACATCTCAGTTCAGAGGAGCCGTTCAAAGCCTTAAGAGCCACATGTGGCTACTGTAGTAGATAGTAGTGGTCTAGAAGAAGGTTGGTGGCATCCTTGCTGTGTGGTTTCTGGCCTTGCCAAAAGTATTGCCATCCCAGTGTGGTATGTTCTTTAATGTGTTTGTCCCCTATCCCCAGACCAGTTGCTGGAGGTCCTCTCGGACCTTGTCCGGAAGGCCAGGAGTCGGAACATTGGCATCTTCCATCCATCCTTCAACATAAACAAGTTCCTCCGACAGAATCTCTACAAATACCTCCCAGCCAATGTCCACCAGCTCATCTCAGGCAAAATATGCATCTCGCTCACCAGAGTGTCTGATGGAGAAAACGTTCTAGTGTCACACTTTTGGTCCAAAGACGAAGTCGTGGATGTAAGCAGTTTGCTTATCTAGGTGTTGTCAAGTAAGAAAAGCCATTTTAGGATGGGTGGGGTGGCTCGTGCCTGTCATCCCAGTACTTTGGGAGGCTGAGGCAGGAGGGTCGCTTGAGCCCAGGAGTTTGAGACCAACACGGCGAAATCCCATCTCTACAAAAAATACAGAAAAATGAGCTGGGTGTGGTGTTGTGGGCTGTAGTCCCAGTTACTTGGGAGGCTGAGGCAGGAGAACTGCTTGAGCCTAGGAGGTGGAGGTTGCAGTGAGCTGTTGATCATGCCACTGTACTCCAGCCTGGGTGACAGTGAGACACTGTCTTAAGAAAGAAAAAAAAAAGGGCTGTTTTGTTTTGGAAGGAACACAGAAGCACTTACAGAGCCCCTGTGCCAGAGTGACAAACTCTGCCTGCCTCCAGTGATTTGGTCCATGTTTGTAAACCCTGAATGTTCCAGGGCAGGTTCTTATCTTTACTTTTTTTTTTTCTTTTTGAGACAGGGTCTTGGTCTGTCTCCCAGACCAGAGTGCAGTGTCAACCTCCCGAGTAGCTAGGACTATAGGTGCAGGCTGATGTTTGTATTTTTTGTAGAGACAGGGTTTCACCCTGTTGCCCAGGCTGGTCCCAAACTCCTGCACCTAAGTGATCTGCCCACCTTGGCCTGGCAGCTGCAATTTCAAATAATTCCTCCTTTTCCTTCAGTGCGTGGCTCATGACCGCCTAGTCCAAGGAACCTGCTCTGCAGGTGTGCCTCTCCCAAACTTCCTCTGTGCATCTTCCATAGTGAAGATGCTTTCTCTCCATGGAAGCTCCACACAGCTGGGAACATGTCTTATTTGCCTGTATCCTTAGGGTCTAGCAGAGAGAAGATAATTTGCAGTAACAAAACACCATTTAATATGGCTGATGCTTTCATAAGCTCCTTAGATGAAGGAGTCAATTTTACTTAACACAGGCTGCAAGACAGCAGCCTGGCGCGTATACAGCAGCCAGTTTTATCCTCTGTTTAACCTTGTTTCTAGAAGCCTTCTATAAACAGCCAGCACTTGTCTGTTCCCACATGGGTCTGTTCTAGTGAATCAGTGTGGTGCCTGCTGACTACTCTGCAGCATGGTGCTTTGCAAAGTGTGGTCCTGGGACTAGCAGAGCAGCAGCTCCAGGAAGCCTCTTAGAATTGCAGACCCTCAGGCCCCACCTCGGACCTGCTGCATGAGAATTCTGGGGAGGGACACAGAATCTCGAGTTCCAGAAGCTCTCAGGTGATTCTTCTTCTTTTTTTTAAAGACAGAGTCTTGCTCTGTCATCAGGCTGGAGTGCAGTGGCACGATCTCAGCTCACTGCAACCTCCGCCTCCCAGATTCAAGCGATTCTCGTGCTTCAGCGTCCTGAGTAGCTAGGACTACAGGCAGGCACCACCACGCTCTGCTAATTTTTGTATTTTTAATAGAGATGGGGTTTCACCATGTTGGCCAGGATGGTCTTGATCTCTTGACCTCATGATCTGCCCACCTTGGCCTCCCAAAGTGCTGGGATTACAGGCGTGAGCCACTGTGTCTGGACAGGTGATTCTAATGAATACCTGCATTTGAACAGCACCAATGTACCTTCTTCCAGTCCATGAGTCAATAACCCTTGGTTCTGTCTGTGATGACCCAGTGTGGGTCTCGTGGAGCCAGAAGAGGAAGTGGAAGTCAGGGCTTTTGCAATAGATGGGACCCAGGGGCCTGAATCCAAGGGTATATGTTGGTTCACGGTTCATTGCACCCATGGATTAACCTACTCTGTGCAAACGGCGTTTTCAGGTTTCTTGCCCTGCTCATTTGGAGAAGGCTTACGAAGGATCACGGAAATGAAAAGCGTGTTCTCGCCTGTGACTTCTCTCTCTTTTGCTTTCACAGGCCTTGTTGTGTTCCTGCTTCATCCCTTTCTACAGTGGCCTTATCCCTCCTTCCTTCAGAGGAGTGGTAAGTCGGCTTTCTCTGCTAATACCGAATCCTGGGGGCTTCCCCTCTAAAACATGCTCACACAGTTCCTGCCTGCAAGGTGCTGGTGTTGGCACCTCGGGTTCTGTCCCGTGGCGGAGCCCCGTGCCTCGCTGCCTTTCAGACAGAGTAGCCGCAGCTGGCCCAACTTCCAGGCTACCCTGGCAGCAAAACTTACTTGGTGTGTAATTAATTATCTCGCTATCTGTAAGGCAAACTAGCTGGTCCACTTAATCTGCATGATGAGTATGAAAGATAGCTTCTCAGTGACCTAGTTAAACTATGTGACACTGGCTGGGCATGGTGGCTCATGCCTGTAATCCCAGCACTTTGGGAGGCCGAAGCAGGCAGATCACTTGAGGCCAGGAGTTTGAGACCAGCCTGGCCAACATGGTGAAACCTGGTCTCTACTAAAAACAAAAATTAGCTGGGCATCGTGGTGTGAGCCTGTAATCCCAGCTACTAGGGAGGCTGAGGCAGGAGAATTGTTTGAACCTGGGAGGTGAGGGTTGCAATGAGCTGAGATCACCCCACTGCACTCCAGCCTGGGTGACAGAGTGAGACTCCATCTCAAGAGAAAGAAAGAGAGAAAAAGAGAAAGGAGAGAAAAGAGAAAGAGCAAGCGAGCGAGCGCAAACCTGGGTGACGGAGATTCCACCTTGAAAGAAAGAAATAGAGAGAGTGGGCCGGGCGGTGGCTCAGGCCTGTAATCCCAGCACTTTGGGAGGCCAAGGTGGGTGGATCATGAGGTCAAGAGAGAGACCATCCTGGTCAACATGGTGAAACCCCGTCTCTACTAAAAATACAAAAAATTAGCTGGGCACAGTGGTGCGTGCCTGTAATCCCAGCTACTCAGGAAGCTGAAGCAGGAGAATTGCCTGAACCCAGGAGGCGGAGGTTGCGGGGAGCCAAGATCATGCCATTGCACTCCAGCCTGGGTAACGAGCGAAATTCCATCTCAACAACAACAACAAAAGAAATAGAGAGAGTGAGAGAGAGAGAAAGAATATGATGCTGAAGACTCTTGTTACCCCTAGAAGGTATACCTTTAGAGCTTTATTCTTAGGGGGAACTGTAACAGTCGTATATTTTCTTTTTCTTTTCTTTTTTTTTTTTTTTCCAAAATGGTGTCTCACTCTGTTGCCCAGGCTAGAGGCTAGAGTGCAGCGACACAATTTCAGCTCATTGCATCCTCTGCCTCTGAGGTTCAAGTGATTCTTCATTCTCAGCCTCCTGAGTAGCTGGGATTACAGGTGCCCACCACCACGCCCAGCTAATTTTTGTATTTTTAGTAGAGATGAGGTTTCACCATGTTGGCCAGGCTAGTCTCAAATTCCTCACCTTAGGTGATCCTCCCGCCTCAGCCTCCTAAAGTGCTGGGATTACAGGTGTGAGCCACTGTGCCTGGCCAACAGTCATATATTTCCTCAACAAAACAACAACAACAAAACAATCTGTAAGCCTGGCCTAACCTAGATTTGTGCTTCTTTTTAGATTTGTGCTTTGATCTGCCTGCTTCAGCCTCCCAAAGTGCTGGGATTACAGGCATGAGCCACCATGCCCAGCCAGTGTCACATAGTTTAACTAGGTTACTGAGACGCTGTCTTTGATACTCATCGTGCAGATTAAGTGAACCAGCTAGTTTGCCTTACAGATAGCGAGCTAATTAATTACACATGAAGTAAGTTTTGTGCCACTGTGATGTACAGGAGGAAGTTTAGCCTGTAAAATACTGGCCATTTAGGGTCATTTTTGAACTCACAAGAGCAGCAGTGGAAACTTTGATGTGGTCCTGCATGTAGCACTGGCAGAGCCATGTGGTGGAGGGACTCGCATTACAAGCCTCCCATTACAGACCACGTACTCCCGCGCGTTATCTTATGGTGTCCCTGCAACTGAGGGGAGATGCGATCATTCATCCCATGCAACTGTGGGGAACTTGAGAGTCACACATGCCCAAGGAGCACAGCCAGGGAGCCTGTGCCCGGGTCACTCTCTGCCCTCTGTCAGAATGGGGCATGTCTTGCATGGTTCTCTGCAGGGCAGCTCTTCTCATCCTCTCTAGTTTGGGGTCCAAGACAGCAGTCCACAGGGCCACTGGAGTGCCCAGCCACTGAGTGACCAAAGCATGTTTTGGATTTCTGACGTTGCGACACGTCAGATCAGGCATCAGCAGGACCCCAGCCCCTTGTCATGCTGGTGGCTTTACGGGGGTTTTCATCTTTCCCAGAACTCAGCAGCAGTGGACCCAGCAGCACTGTCATGATGCCCCCTGGCTCCCCAGTGCACAGTTCTGGCTTTTCCTCTTGGTCGAGAGTTTCAAGCCCTTCTGGGTCCTACTCTGTCCTTTTCAGCCCGTGGCTTTGGTCAGAAGCTGCTGGCAGCATTCAGATTTGGCTGAGTTCAGTGAATATGTGTATTGGCTGATTTCTGAGCCATGCCAGGGGGTTGGAGAAGCTGAAGTGGGAGTGTTTGTTCTGCAGGCTCTGGACTAGGCACTGGGTCTGTGCCAGGTCACTTGCTAGTCTTACATCCTCCCCCAACCCCTGCTGGGGATGTCTGGCCATGTCAGAAGATAGTTTGGGTTGTCACCACTGGGGGAGTGCCACTGGCATCTGTTCATGGAGACCAGGGATGCCACATCATCACCCACTGGGTATGCTCATGGGAATCCTGCTGAAGGTTCAAGCACATTGTTCTTGAAATTCAACGCATGCAAATTCAAAACGTTACTGTGTACGTACCACATGCCAAACGATTGCATCACTGGAGCTCCTAAATTCAAAACATTACTATAGAAAAGCTCAAAATGCATGGAAAAGTTCTACATGGCAGGAGAAGATTTGGGCTTCAGACTACTCCTTGAATGAAAATGATTTACCAGATGCCTTCCTCCTTGGTCTTCACTCCAGATTCCTGGCGTTTTGTTCTGTGTCCCTTTATGCCATGGTTTTTGTTTGTTTTTTGAAACAGAGTCTCCCTCTATCGCCTAGACTGGAGTGCAGTGGTGCGATGTCAGCTCACTGCAACCCTTGCTTCCCGGGTTCAAGTGATTCTCGTGCCTCAGCCTCTCAACAGCTAAGATTACAAGTGCACACCCCCACGCCCAGCTTCATTTTTGTATTTTTAGTAGAGATGGGGTTTCACCATGTTGCCCAGGCTGGTCTCAAACTCCTGGCCTCAAGTGATCCACGTGCCTCAGCTTCCCAAAGCGCTGGGATGACAGGTGTGAGAGCCACTGTGCCCAGCTGCTAGTGAGGTTTTTGATACCTTCCTACATCTGCCCTAGAAATTGTGTGGCTACAATTTTGGAAATGTTGCTGTGTATGCTCCTGATCATTTCTGGACTTCAGGCATTTCTGGACTTGATGGCTCAGGTGTGGCTTATCATGCCTGATTCTTTCCTGGACCTGTTTTAGGCCAAATTCTGCTCTGAAATTCCTCTGTGTGGAAGGGTGGACTGGGGAGAGTGTCCCAGCTGTGATCTTTTGGAGGCCTTCCTCGGTGGGTATCTGGTGGCTAGCTGTGATGGCTGTGGCTGGAAATCATTGTAGACACAAGTGTCACAGATGCAGGCTCTGTCCAAATTGTAGCAAAAGCTGCCTGCCCAGCTGAGCTGTGGGCAATAAGGTTGTTTAAGGATATAGAGGAAAGGAAAACTCATCCTTAGAATAATTTATTCAAAACGCTGCTGTATTGTGGGTTTGAGGACATTTTCTGAGGTCCCAGGTTCATTTGTTTCATTTAGCGTCAAAAGTCGCTGGGTGCAGTGGCTAACACCTGTAATCTCAGCACTTTAGGAGGCTGAGGCAGGCGGATCACCTGAGGTTGAGAGTTCAAGACCAACCTGACCAACATGGAGAAACGCCGTCTCTACTAAAAATACAAAATTAGCTGGATGTGGAGGTGCATGCTTGTAATTCCAGCTACTTGGGAGGCTGAGGCAGGAGAATCGCTTGAACCCGGGAAGTGGAGGTTACAGTGAGCAGAAATCGTGCCATTGCACTCCAGCCTGGGCAACAAGAGTGAAATTCCGTCTCCGAAAAAGAAAAGGCTCAAAAGTCCCTCCAGGTGGTTCTGATTATCAAGGTGTGGAGAAAGACAGGCTCACACGTTAAAGATCTTGCCCATATTTGTGTATCCTCCTTGCAAGCCGCAAGGGGTCTGGATTGGAACCATGACCATTTGTCTCCTTTGGATTTTTACCACATTCTGTCCCCAGTGCATTGAGCACCCCTAGTTCATATGACCCCTTAGGCACATTACAAGGGCACTCCTATGGGTGCCCATTCAGCCCTCGGACTTGGCCAGTACAACATGGAGTCCAATCGCCATCTGCCTCTTTGCCAGGCATGTTTGTGCAGTGCACACACTGTACAGCAGTACACAGCAGCCCTGAGAGCCAAAGTAGAGCCTGGTCTAGCACAGGGTGCTCAGTAAGGATTTGTCACAGGAGTGATTCCAAAGCTGTCGTCCTCCTTCATATCAGCCTGCCGGCAGCTCTGAGAAGCCTCTGTCCACATAGGAAAGCTCGTTAAGCACTAACCCAGAGCCTCAGCTAGCGCCAGTCCTTTTTTTCCTTCTTTAAAAGCGATACATGGATGGAGGAGTGAGTGACTCTGTGCCCTTCATTGATGCCAAAACAACCATCACCGTGTCCCCTTTCTATGGGGAGTACGACATCTGCCCTAAAGTCAAGTCCACAAACTTTCTCCACGTGGACATCACCAAGCTCAACCTGCGCCTCTGCTCGGGGAACCTCCACCTTCTATCGATGGCATTTGTCCCCCCGGATCTCAAGGTGAGTGGGTGGTTCTGGGGTGCAGCTCTTCTTTGCCTCCCTGATTGCCAGGAAATACTGATTGCTCTCTGCACAATCAAACAGAAATAGACCTTATCATTGATGGTTAACAGAAATAAAAGGCGCTTGTCCCAGAAGCTCAGGCGAGGCACCATCCTGATTATGGGAATCACCTGGGAACATATACCCAGACCTCAAACTCAGATCCATTTCCCAGGCTGTGTCTACAGTCAGGGTGTGCAGCATGGGCCTCAGGTTTTTTTTTTTATTTGTTTAGTTATAAAGACAATTTTTTTTTTTTTGAGACAGGGTCTTGCTCTGTCACTCAGGCTGGAGTGCAGTGGTGCAGTCATAGCTCACTGAAGCCTCAAACTCCTAGGTTCAAGCCGTCCTCCCACCTCAGCCTCCCGAGTAGCTGGGAACCACAGGCACACACCTGGCTAATTTTTAAATTTTTTGTAGAGTGTTGCCCAGGTTGGTCTCACCCTCCTGGCCTCAAGCTATCCTCCCAACCCAGTCTCCCAAAGTATTGGGATCATAGGCATAAGCCACTGTACCCAGCCATTAAGATGATTCTTTTATTTATTTATTTATCTGTCTATTTATTTTTGAGAAGGAGACCCACTCTGTCACCCAGGCTGGAGTGCAGTGGTGTGATCTTGGCTCACTGCAACATCCTTCTCCCAGGTTCAAGTGATTCTCCTGCCTCAGCCTCCCAAGTAGCTGGGATTATAGGCACACACCACCACACCCAGCTAACTTTTGCATTTTTAGTAGAGACGGGGTTTCACCATGTTGGTCAGGCTGGTCTCGAACTCCTGACCTCATGATCCACCCACCTTGACCTCCCAAAGTGCTGGGATTATAGGCATGAGCCACCGCGCCCGGCCCTTCCTGTATGCTTTATAAGCAGATGAGTAGAGGAGACAGCTCTTATTGTCATAATAACAATTGGGACAGGCTGCAAAATTTGTTAGAGTGGAGGCTTATCCCGGGACCGAGGGAGCCCAAAGAAACAAACTCCTCCAGGTGCGGTGGCTCACGTCTGTAATCCCAGCACTTTGGGAGGCGAGGCGGGTGGATCACTTGAGGTCAGGAGTTCAAGACCAGCCTGGCCAATATGGTGAAACCCCATCTCTACTAAAAATAAAAAAATTAGCCATGTGTGGTGGCAGGTGCCTGTAATCCCAGCTACTTGGGAGACTGAGGCAGGAGAATCACTTTAACTGGGGCAGGGCAGAGGTTTCAGTGAGCCGAGATCATGCCACTGTACTACAGCCTGGGTGATAGAGCAAGACTCCGTTTCAAAAAAGAAAAAAAAAGAAACAAGCTCCTGCCTTGGTGGGGTGCCAGCAAAGTCTCTGTGAAGGGGTGACATTCGAGCCAAGACCTGTAGGGAACTGTCTCCTGGGAGCACAGCCCTTTGCTCAGCCCCCTGGGTGACTCAGTACCCCCAGCCAGCAGACTTAGAGCCTGCACGATTCCTTAGTGCCCTCTGCGGTCTTTCAATGATGCTTAAATAAATGGTGCTTGGTGTCTTCCTGCTGTAGTCCCTTTGTTTGCCTTGCTCACAGGTGCTGGGAGAGATATGCCTTCGAGGGTATTTGGATGCGTTCAGGTTCTTGGAAGAGAAGGGTATGTATGGGCTGGGAAGATCAGATATGCCCTTTTGACAAGCATTGGCTTGTCAATCAAGTCTTGGTAAAGACTTGAGGTTTGCCTTAGTTCTAACACTTCATGCCCAATGGCTTCCCTGTGTTGCTCAACCTGCTCATAAGCCCCAGAGATAGGAAACCTCTGTCCCATTTTACAGATGGGGAAACAGAAGCTTGGAGAGGAAAGCCAAGCAGCACACACCAGCACAGCCTCCTCCCTGAGGGGCAGAGCCAAGATCTGAACTGGGATGTCATGATTCCAGGGCCCTCTCCCTCCCCAGGGTCCCCTTCTCTGAAGGCGGTTTTTCTTTTCAGCTCGACCTCTTGTGATCCTTTAGTTTAACAAGGGCTGAAGTTAAATAGTCTCTGCGCCTGAGCCCCAAATGCAGCAATGAGATTTCTCATCCTCAGTCAGGTGTGGGTCCATGCCCACTAGACCAGTTTACTCTCCTTCCCAGAGCAAGTTTCTGCCTTCAAGTCATCCTGGCTTGCTGGGGCTGCGGGGGAGCGGGTGCTGCTCTAGAAATATTAGAGTGAACCAAAAAGATGTGTTGGGAGCTATTTGTCTTTAATACTAAAACTTGGCTGACTTACTGGTCTTCTGAATTTTTCGTTGGCCAAGACCAAGGAGACTGCATTTATAAGGACATACACGTATTTTCTGCTCAGAAAATGTTCACTGCTGTGTGCTAGAGATCCTGCAGTGAACACAGAGGTGTGGCCCTTGCCAGCTTATGACAGAGGTGAGCAGATGAGTAAGCAGAAGGTGATGCTTTGTCAATGGCAAAGCACAGGTGCCAAGGAGAAGACACAGGATGCTGGAGGATCATTCTGGATGGATCTCCAAGGCCCCAGGGGAAGAAGGGCCTCTCGGAGGATGTGAATCCATGTTGAGACTTTGGGGATAAGTGGGAGAGCCTTAGGCATGGGGGCCATGGATGTGAGGCCTGCTGGACACAGGATAGGACAAAGGCCTGTGTAGCTGGAAGGGTGGGAGTGGGGATACTAACAGGTGGCTGGAGAAGAGGGGGTGAAGAATGGTGAAAAATGGGAGAGGAGGACAGGCTGGGCCTTTTGGACATGGGGTGTATCTCGCAGTAGGGAGCCATTGAGGGCTGCTGTGGTCTGGAGGGAGGGGAGCAGGGGAGAGCTTTGGGACAGGAAGGGGGAGACCAGCGTCTAGGAGGCCAGTGGGGCAGTGAGGGTCACGAGGAGGAAGCCAATCTGAGGGAGCTCGGGAACGGGACTTGGAAATGACCGATGGGACATTTGTGAAGAGGAAGATGGAAGAGCACAGTCCTGGCTTCTGGCTTCAGCAAGTGGGCAAGGGAAGGGAAGATGGGGGCTGTGCCCATGGGTTGAGGGTTGAGGACATTAGGAGGGCACCACCTTGGAAGGAAAAGTTGATGTGCCAGAGATGCTGGAGGCGCCATCTCCCTGAGAACAGATACCTGGAAACATTCCTAAGGGAAAGGGACATCTGAAAGGGTGAGGAGGGCATCTGATAGAAGCTGGAAAGAGCTGGGGCAAGCATGACTGTGAGGTTATCTCAGGGAGGAAGGCACAGGCATTGAGGAGCAGCCCCTGGTCTTTTCAACCTGAGGTTGGAAGCCAGAGTTGGGCCAGGTGCAGCTGTGGGCATCTGAAGCCCCCCTCCCCCCACCCAGCCTGCAAATGCTGTAAGAGCAGGGGCTACTCACTGGTGAGTAGCTGAGTCCCAGCACCCAGGGCAGGGCCTGGCACATACAGGTGCCCAGTCCTCCCTTGCTGGGTGCTTATTCCAAGGCTGTGTGATGGAAGAGTACCCTTTTTGACATCAGACCCATCTTCAAATCTTGGCTCTGCTGTGTACTGGCTGTGTGGCTTTAGATAAGTGTCTTAACCCCTGTGCTTCTGATTTCTCAGCTGCAAAATGGAGATGATGGTAACAGTTGCTGTAAGGCCTGATGGTGAAGTGCCTGGCTCAGGGCCCGGGAGGCAGGTGTGGCCAGTGGTTCAGTTGTTGTAAACGAACACTAACCCCCACCTTTGCACCTCATGTATCCAGACGTGGAGATGGAGCCCACACAGCTAGCAGGAGCCAAGCTCACGTGTGTCCTGCTTTAAAGCCTCACACTCCTTTCTCCGGGTGGCAAACACCTGCCCTCGTCCTCGTCCCTTCCCCTGTTCCCCTTGCATTTGGCTAGTAACAGGCCAGCAGCCTGCCTCCCTGCAATTTGGTGGATGGGTGGGTAATGATCCCCACTCCCCACATTATCGCCTAATGGGCTTGTTTTCCGGGCCCTTCATAGGCATCTGCAGCAGGCCCCAGCCTGGCCTGAAGTCATCCTCAGAAGGGATGGATTCTGAGGTTGCCGCGTCTGCCTGGGAAAACACGACCCTGCAGTCTTCCCCAGAGTTGGCTGTGAGGCTGGAGGGAGACGAGCTGCTAGACCACCTGCGTCTCAGCATCCTGCCCTGGGATGAGGGCATCCTGGACACCCTCTCGCCCAAGCTCGCTACAGGTACCCACTCCTCAAGGTGGGCACGGGCAGCACCTTGTCTTCTTTCTTGCGTGTTATGAAGGAAGGTGGTGCTGCCACATGGGGGTGATGGGGCGAGGCAACCACGACCGGCGGTCAGGAACATCCCCTTCCATTGCACAGCCCGGTCTGCTGCCGACACGCCCAGCACAGGCCTCCCCCCATCCAGGCACCTTGCCATGTCTTCCTTCCCCTGGAGTCATGACTGGGAGAAAAACAAACTCCAGCTGAGCCCATTGGGGTTCCCCGTATAGGCTCCTGTCTCCAGCAGCCAGGACCTCTGTACCCCTTTCCAACCCTGTGTCCCTGACATGGCGCCTGAGCTCCCGCCATGCTGGATTTCATGGACCCCAGGGATGGGGGTCCTGCCTCTGGGACTTGGCCCATTACTCAGAGCTCCTTTCTGGCCACTACTCTCCATACTCCTTACTTGAGGCCTCTCCTAGTTTCTCCCTTCCCCTAAACCCAGTCTCCATGGAACTTCCATTGAATAGTAATGTTTTTGTTTTTTTGGGTTTTTTTTTTTGTTTGTTTGTTTGAGAGAGATAGTCTCACTCTGTTACCCAGGCTGGAGTGCAGTAGCATGATCTCAGCTCACTGCAACCTCCGCCTCCTGGGTTCAAGCTATTCTCTGCCTCAGCCTCCCAGGTAGCTGGGATTATGCAGTAGGCATGCACCACCACACCTTGCTAATTTTTTGAGTTTTTTTTTTTTTTAGATAAAGTCTCACTCTGTTGTCCAGGCTGGCCTGCCATGGCACAATCTTGGCTCACTGCAACCTCTGCCTCCTGGGGTCACGAGATTCTCCGGCTTCAGACCCCTGAATAGCTGTGACTACAGGTGTGTGCCACCACGCCTGGCTAATTTTTTTTGTATTTTTAGTAGAGATGGGGTTTCACCTTGTTAGCCAGGATGGTCTCGATCTCCTGACCTCATGATCCACCCACCTCAGCCTCCCAAAGTGCTGGGATTACAGGCATGAGCCACTGTGCCCGGTGAATGGTTCCGTATTTTATAAGGTCATCAAATATTGAGTGGACAGACAGTGCTATGATGGTCTTAGGAGGTGGAGCCTTTGGGAAGAGATGAGGTCATGAGGACAGGGCCTACATGAATGGGGTTAGTGCCCTTATTTTTTTTTTTTTTTTTTTTTTTTTGAGACGGAGTTTCGCTCTTGTTACCCAGGCTGGAGTGCAATGGCGCAATCTCGGCTCACCGCAACCTCCGCCCCCTGGGTTCAGGCAATTCTGCTGCCTCAGCCTCCTGAGTAGCTGGGATTACAGGCACGCACCACCGTGCCCAGCTAATTTTTTGTAATTTTTAGTAGAGACGGGGTTTCACCATGTTGACCAGGATGGTCTCGATCTGTTGACCTCGTGATCCACCCGCCTCGGCCTCCCAAAGTGCTGGGATTACAGGCTTGAGCCACCGCGCCCGGCCCAAGTGCCCTTATTAAAGGGACCCAGGAGAGGTCCCTTGTCCCTTCTACCATGTGAGGACGAGGAAGGTGGTGTCTATGAAGAAGCAGGACCTCACCAGACACCAGCACGTCTGCTGTCCTTGATCTGGGGCCTCCTAGCCTCTAGAACTCTGAAAAATCAATGTTAGTTATTTTATAAACCACTCAATTGGTGGCATTTTGTTAGAGTAGCCTGGACATGGCCTAACTCAGACAGACAGAAGAACCCATAAACTAGCTGTGGAGTTGGGCATTTGGAGAAATTAAAAAATAAGTCAGATATAATTCCTTGTTCTTGAGGTGCCAACACCCTAGCAGATGGGAGACAGCAGCTGCCCAGGTGCATTCATTTGTTCTTGCTTTGCTATAAAGAAATACCTGGCTAGGCATGAGGGCTCACAGCTGTAATGCCAATGCTTTGGGAGGCCGAGGCAGGCAGATCACTTGAGGTCAGTAGTGTGAGACCAGCCTAACCAACATGGTGAAACCTCCGAGTCTACTAAAAATACAAAAGTTAGCTGCGTGTGGTGGTTGGTGCCTGTAATCCCAGGTACTTGGGAGGCTATGGCAGGAGAATTGCTTGCACCCCAGAGGCAGAGGTTGCAGTGAGCCGAGATCGCACCATTGCACTCCAGACTGGGCAACAAGAGCAATACTCCCTCTCAAACAACAACAAAAAACCCGAGACTGTGTAATTTATAAAGGAAGAGGTTCAATTGGCTCACAGTTGCACAGGCTGGACAGGAAGCATGGTGCTGGCATCTGCTTAGCTTCTGGAGAGGCCTCAGGACACTTACAGTCATGGCAGAAGGTGAAGGTGGCTGCAGCAACAGTGAGAGAGAGAGAGAGAATGAGAATACATTTTTTTTTTTGAGATGGAGTCTCACTGTGTTGCCCAGGCTGGAGTGCAGTGATGTGAACTACAACCTCCACCTCCTGGATTCAAGCAATTCTCTTGCCTCAGCCTCCTAAGTAGCTGGGACTATAGGTGTGCACCACCACACCCGGCTAATTTTTTGTGTGTTTTTAGTAGAGACGGAGTTTCACATTGTTGGCCAGGATGGTCTTGATTTCCTGACCTTGTGATCTGCCCTCCTCGGCCTCCCAAAGTGCTGGGATTACAGGCATGAGCTATCACGCCCAGCCAGTGCCGTACGCTTTTAAACAACCAGATCTCAGGATAACTCACTCACTAGCAAGAGAACAGCACCAGGGGAAATCTGGCCCTGTGATCCAATCACCTCCTACCAGGCCCTGCCTCCAGCACTGGGGATTACAATTTGACATGATGTGGGTGGCGACACAGATCCAAATCATATCACCAGATTAATATGATCTGAGGCTTCATGCAGTCATTAAAGAGAGGGGGTAAAAGACTGGGGCTCCAGGAAGAAGACTCTGGAATCCAGCAGAGCGTCAAGGACCAGCTCGTAAAGTCAGTGGTGGCTGAGAAGTTCCTAGGAGAACATAGATGCTGTGACATTTGATGTAGATTTTTTTTTTTTTTTGAGGTAAGAGTCTTGCTCTGTTGTCCAGGCTAGAATGTGCAGTGGTGTGATCTTGGTTCACTGCAGCCTCCACCTCCCAGGTTCAAATGATCCTCATGCCTCAGCCTCCTGGGTAGCTGGAATTACAGGCATGCACCACCACACCTGGCTAATTTTTGTGTTTTTAGTAGAGACATTGTTTCACCACGTTGCCCAGAGTGGTCTCGAACTCCTGACCTCAAGTGATCGACCAACTTCGGCCTTCCAAAGTGCTGGGATTATAGGTATGAGCCACCGCACCCAGCCTGATGTAGCTGTTCCTGTGCACATTATTCGCTCTGGGGTATATTCAGATTTCTTAATACAAGATGATGCTTTGCCTCATGACTTACCCACCATTTTCTATTTAATTTCAGCTATGATACTGGAAATGGACATGTCTTTTCAAGGGAAATAAAAGCAGGCTTTCTGGAATGGTGACTTCCAAGCATATTTGTCAATTTAAGGGAACTGGGAGTGGGGACCCTGTGTCCTGTAAGCACCCTCGGGCTGTTCTGGGTGGTGTGCCCTGCTTGAGCTTCACACTGCCCTTGCTGTGAAGGGAGCAGCCTGGGTCGGGCACAGTGGCTCACGCCTGTAATTCCAGTGCTTTGGGAGGCCAAGGCGGGTGGATCACCTGAGGTCAGGTGTTCGAGACTAGCCTGGCCAACATGGCAAAACCCCATCTCTACTAAGAACAAAAAATTAGCTGGGTGTGGTGGCAGGCACCTGTAATCCCAGCTACTCAGGAGGCTGAGGCAGGAGAATTGCTTGAACCTGGGAGGTGGAGGTTGCAGTGAGCTGAGATCATGCCATTGCACTCCAGAGTTGGGCAACAAAAGCGAAACACTGTCTAAAAAAAAAAAAAAGAAGAAGCTGGGCTCAGTGGCTCACACCTGTAATCCCAGCTCTTTGGGAGGCTGAGTTGGGCAGATCACAAGGTCAGGAGTTTGAGACCAGCTTGGCCAACATGGTGAAACCCCGTCCCTACTAAAAATACAAAAAGTAGCTGGGTGTGGTGGTAGTGCCTGTAATCCCAAGCTACTCAGGAGGCTGAGGCAGAAGAATTGCTTGAACCTGGGAGGGGGAGATTGCAGTGAGCTGAGATCTCACCCCCGCACTCCAGCCTCGGTGACAGAAAGAGACTTAGTCCAAAAAGGAAAGAAAGGAGCAGCCTGACAAACCCCACCTCGTGTCTCCTTTGTGAGTGCCTCCGACCCTTTGGCTGCCAGGATGGGTGTATTTCATGGAAATGCTAAGCACCAACAGTAAAGTCGTTTGGTTTTTCACACTGTGGGAGATAATAGCTCTAAATTGTCTTTTTCAGCACTGAGTGAAGCATTGAAAGACAGAGGTGGATACATGAGCAAGATTTGCAACTTGCTACCCGTTAAGATAATGTCTTACATGATGCTGCCCTGTACCCTACCCGTGGAGTCTGCCATTGCGATTGTCCAGAGGTGAGCTTTTTAGCTGGCTCTGGGCCTTCCTCACAGGGTTGATAGGAGGATGAAACAAGATGACAGATGAAGGCCCAAAGCCTGAGGCCTGGCTTGTAGTGCAGCAGATCGCAGTTCACAGGCTTTATGCAATGTCCCTCAACGTTGCCCACCTGTCTTCAGGCCGCGAATGCACCTGGAACTCAGTGCAAGCCCAGAAACTCCCCCTGGGGACTCCTAGAGCTGTCAGTGGCCTCACATAGCAGCTGGTCCAGTCTCTCGTGATTGCCTGAGGGAGCTGAGGCCTGGAGAGCTCGGGGTCGCACTCTGAGGTCACAGAGATGACTAGTAGAAGGGCCAGGCCTAGAAGCAGATTCCTTGCTGTCCCTCCAACCTGTTTCCCTTTAGAATCACCTCAAAGTTAGTGCGATGGCTCACGCCTGTAATCCCAGCACTTTGGGAGGCCAAGATGAGCTTTCTGGAACCAGAAGTGGCCTCATTTTGCTTCAGAGATTTCAGGTGGGCTCATCTTTGTCCTAGCATGATGACCTTCTGGGAAGTCATCAGACTGGGGTTAAAGGTGACGTGGGTAGCTTAGGTAAACAGAGTGGTGTTGTAAGCTGTTGTGTCTGCCTGTGTGTTTGTGGACTTGGTCTTGTCCCTGCAGACTGGTGACATGGCTTCCGGATATTCCCGACGACATCCAGTGGCTGCAGTGGGTGACCTCGCAGATCTTCACTCGAGCACTGATGTGTCTGCTCCCCACCTCCAGGTAAATGCTTTGACTGTGGGGGTGTGGGCTGGTTGGGCACCTCTCTCATCTGATGAGTCCTCGCACAGCAGCCTAGAAACAGCTGGCTGAACACCAAGCAAGTAGCTTGCCCTGGGGTGCGGGGACCCTGTCTCATGGGAGGCAGCTGAGTCAGTCAGAGGTCCTGGTGCACCTGCTGAGAGCTGTCACCCAGGCTGACCTGCCCCGGGGCCTGGAAAGCCTTCCTGTCCGGTGTGTCTGAGGGCAGTGCTGATGGAGGAGCAGAAAGGCCGCAGATACGCAGGGAAAGGTGCCCCAGACAGAGTGGCTGGGGTGAGGGCCAGGGAGTGTCAGACAGCACTGGGGTGCCTGAGGGAAGGAGCTCTGGCACCCGTGGCACAGGAAGGAGGAGGGGCCCTGGAGGGGCAGGGGTAGTAGAGCTCCTTGCAGCATGCGGGTGTTGGCTGGGTGCCTGGGAATGGAGGTTCCCTGTCCTTCACCCTCTGATGTAGTTAGTCACAGTCTCGGGGCAGAGCCCAGCAGTCTACATTGACAGACCCCAGGGGATGCTGCTACTTCCTGAATTCTGAAAACTGAGCCAGAGCTCAGGGCTTGGCTCCCGTTACCAGGGTCGGGTGTTATCCTGAAAATCGTGGGCTTTGGCTTCCTCACTTGGTCAGCGGAGATGATCCCCGGCCTCTCACTGGGTTTCCCTGAGCTGCTGAGAGCCAGTACCATGGTACTTGGCATATGGTGGGCATCAGGAGGTGATGGTGGGCATGAGGAGGTGTGGTCTCTTTTGCTATTGTTGCTATTATTGGTAGACACAGAAGGATTTAAAAGTAGGGAATGGCAAATATCCAGTTTGCATAGGGAAGAGGGCAGTAGTGGTCGAGTATAAGATGGGTCCTCAGCCCTGGCTGGCAGCAGGCAGTAAGGGGGGCTGCCAGGACCCAGACAGGGACGATCTGTAGACTGAGAGGCTTCCCTAGGCTCCTGGACAGGAGGGAGGTGTTGGTTCCAAGCCCAAGGAGAGGGGCAGCCCTGGTGACAGGGGGTCAGTGGTGCCAGGCGGTGGAAGGACACCCTGGCAGGCAAGCAGGTTTGTGTGGAGGAAACCAACAGGTCCCATCAGGGATTCATGGGTGGGTGACACCTGTGGATGTCCAGTGGGAAGTGTCTAGGTAGCTGGGAGGTTCACAGGCTTGGAAGACCTAGGTGTTGACATCAGCCCAGCACTGAGGGCTGGAGGGAGCAGTGTCTCTGGCTGTGACGATTCCCAGAGTGTGTGTGGCACTGCCCCCGAGTGGCTGGCAGTGTGGTCCACAGAAGCCGAGACTGAACTCCACAGCAGCGGGAACAGCTGCTAAGCCAACCTTCTCTATGTGTTTCAGGTCTCAAATGCCAGCAAGCTGCCAACAGGCCTCCCCATGCAAACCCAAGCAGGACTGGGACTGCTGGATTCCCTGCTCCCCCGTGGTCTGTCCTGCGGAAGCCAAAGCAGAGGCCACCCCACGGTCCATCCTCAGGTCCAGCCTGAATTTCTTCTTGGGCAGTAAAGTACCTGCGGGTGCTGAGGGGCTCTCTGCCTTTCCCAGTTTTTCACTGGAGAAGAGTTTGTGAGTCATTTAAGGAGGCGAGTCTAGGAGATGCTTTCAGAGGTGCTAAAGATTCTCATCTGTGTTCAGCTACCTCTGCACTGCTGTGTAATCACCCTGCCTGTGATATGGAGGTCCCGGCTCTGAGCTGAGGTGGTGTTTTGAAAAGCTGGGAACCAACCCTTGGTCTGTGTGGCAGTCCAGCACTTAAATCTAACACATAAGTATGCATTAGCTTAGCTGGCTGGGAAATGACACCAGGAAGCCCAGCGCAGACAGTCCCTTACTGACCGTTTCACAGCCCGATTAATGGTCGGACTGTTCCAGTGCCAGGTTCTTAGAATGACCGGTATTTGGATGGGTGGGGGCCTTGTGGTGGGTGCTGGGCTGGCTATGTGTGATCCTACAGGGTGGAAGGAAGATAATAATAGGGTCCCACCTCCCTGTGCAGTGGGAGGGGATGCAGTTGGTCCCCAAGAAGGACACTGCCTGTTAGGTGGCTTGCAGAGATACTTGCCTTGACACCTGAAAACATCTCCTTGTGGGGGTACAAAATGATAACCTATTTACATTTTAGAACACCTTTTTCACCTAACTAAAATACTGTTTAAAGAATTTTGTATAAAAATGTAAGGAAGTTTTATTATCTGTTGAATTTTGTATTATGTGAATCAATGAGATGTTAATAGAAAAAGCCTTAAAAAAAAAAACTGGCCGGGTGTGTTGGCTCATGCCTATAATCCCAGCACTTTGGGAGACTGAGGTGCGCAGATCACCTGAGGTCAGGAGTTCGAGACCAGCCTGACCAATATAGTGAAACCCCGTCTCTACTAAAAATACAAAAATTAGCTGGGTGTGGTGGTGCATGCCTGTAATTGCAGCTATTTGTGAGGCTCAGGCAGGAGAATTGCTCGAACCCAGGAGGCAGAGGTTGCAATAAGTAGATTGTGCCATTGCAGTGCAGCCTGGTCAACAAGACTGAAACTCTGACTCAATAAATAAATAAAAAATTAACAAACCCAAAAAATCTAGTGTGCAGGGCAGTTACCTCAGCCCCCCCAGGCAGGAGCCAAACACAGCAGGAGCTTCTGCCTTCTCTCCATTGGAGCCCACAACTTGGACTTGACTTACTCTCCAACGCTTCTGGTCTGTGTTCTTTTTTTTCCTCTTTGATTCTTCCCATTCTGTCATGACCCTGACCTCTCTCTGTCCTCCCTACTCTGTCAGCCTTGATGGAGACAACCCCTTGAAGTTAGAACTCACTTTCCCCCAGGTGTGATAATTTATTAGCAAGCTCAGTGTAATATGACTGAAGGTGAAACGTATTTTTTTTTTCTATTTATGCATCTGAGTACAGTACATACAAGAAAAATAATGGCATGCTCAAACTGTTGAATGTTGGAAAAGAAAGTAACAACCCTCACCTGCTTTGTGTAAGTGCCCTAGAGTGGAAGAACCAGCAAGTTGAGCAAAGCACTTGATGGAGGAGACAGACCCTTTAAAGGAAACTGGTTCTAGGAACAAACTATGTGAGCCTGTTCTCTTGATGAGATCGTGAACTCAAGAAAAGAGGCTACTTGTGAAATAATGACGGGGTTGCTTAGTGCATAGAGGTCCCCTAGGGGCAGGAGTTCCAGGGTTTGAACCTGCCTCCTTGCATCTTGAGGGCTCAGTGAGTTCCCAAGGCCTGTGTTCTCTGTTCAGTGTTTGCTCTGTAAGTGAGTTTAGGGCTGGTGAGTGGTGGGGTCTTCCACTCTTGACCCCACCGGATGTCACAGCAAGACACTGTCCCCTGTGGAGCTGGAATGGGGTGGAGGAGGCCACGCCTTATACCCACGTGGCCTCCTTGTGACAGACCCACCCTTATAATGTTGGAAAAGAAAGTCACAAGTTTCTTTTCCCTAGTTTCCCAGTTGGCTTTGTTCTGTTAGTACCACATCTTCAGTCATTAGCAGATAAAACTAAACTTTAACAATATTTTCTAATAACCAATATATTCCCATATAGACAGATGTATGCATGGCATTGTGATTGCTATCAGGAAAAGCATATATTAAATGGCTGATAGGATACCAGGGGACTTATTTTCTCTCTGCTTTTAAAAATTATTTAGGCCGGGTGCAGTGGCTCATGCATGTAATCTCAGCACTTTGAGGGGCCTAGGTGGGTGGATCATCTGAGGTCAGGAGTTTGAGACCAGCCTGGCCAATGTGGTGAAACCCCATCTTTACCAAAAACACAAAAATTAGCCAGGTGTGGTGGTGGGTGCCTGCAATCCCAGATACTTGGGAGGCTGAGACAGGAGAATCGCTTGAACCCAGGAGGCTGTGGTTTCAGTGAGCCGAGATTGTGCCACTGCACTCCAGCCTAGGCAAGAGAGTGAGACTCTGTCTTAAAAAAAAAAAAAAAAAAAAATTAAGCTTATTATTATTTTTTAATTACTAACATTATTTTTAGTAGAAAAGGGTCTTGCTATATTACCCATGCTGGTCTTGAACTCATCAACTTAAGCAGTCTTCCTGTCTTAGCCTCCCCAAGTGCTGGAATTACAAGCAGGATCCACCATGCCTGGCCCCCTGCCTTCTTAAAGTGAGCATTTGTTTTATTATTTTTTTCCCAAGTGTGTACCAAGATCAGGAAATCAGGAAGTGTAATACTCTTATAGAAATGGCCAAGACCTCCCTCCACACCTGTGCCTCAGGTGCCACCCAGTCCTGCCTTCTGTGCCCCTCCAGGAGGCACCCTTTGCTTAGGTCTCTCTCTCTTCCTGAACCACCTCTGGGGGCTTCTTATCACCCTATGAATGCATCCTTATTTATTCTGATCAAACAAAGCCTTCCCTTTAATTTGTGGCACATGTATGCTTTGGAATCCACCCTCAGGAATAATCAGTATGTAGTATATTACATGTCAGGGAGCAACATTCTTTTTTGTTTGTTTAGTTTTATGAGGGTCTCGATCTGTCATCCAGGCTAGGGTATAGTGGTGCAATCATAGCTCACTGCAGCCTCAATGTCCTGAGATCAAGCAGCCTTCCCACCTCAGTCTCCCAAATAGCTGGAACCACAGGCGTGCACTAGTCCTGAGGTCAAGCCATCTTCCCACCTCAGTCTCCCAAATAGCTGGAACCACAGGCGTGCACTAGTCCTGAGGTCAAGCCATCTTCCCACCTCAGTCTCCCAAATAGCTGGAACCACAGGCGTGCACTACCACACCCAGCTAGTTTTTTTGTAGAGACAGGGTCTTGTCATGTTGCCCATGCTGGTCTCCAATTCCTGGGCTCAAGTGATCCTCCTGCCTTGGCCTCCCAATGTGCTGGGATTACAGGTATGAGCTGCTGTGCCCGGACCAAGATTCTTCATTTAGTAAACAGCAAAACTTAGTACAGAGTATGAGGCCGATTTTGTTTAAAAAAAAAAAAAAAAAAGTGTGTGGGTGTATATATGTATCTGTGTGTCTATATAAAAAGACAGAGGGCTGGGCGGTGCCTCATGCCTATAATCCCAGCACTTTGGGAGGCTGAGGCGGGCAGATCACTTGAAGTCAGGAGTTCAAGACCAGCCTGGGTGAAACCCCATCTCTACTAAAACCACAAAAATTAGCCAGGCATGGTGGCAGGCACCTGTAATCCCAGATACTCTGGAGGCTGATGTGGGAGAATCGCTAGAACCCAGGAGGCAGAGGTTGCAGTGAGCGGAGACACAGTAAGACTCTGTCTGAAAAAAAAAAAAAAAAAAGATGGTGAGGATGTATATCAAACCCTTACGGCAGTTATGTTAGGCTGTTATTTGTAATTGTATTTTATTTGTTGTGTTTATATGTGTTGGCCAAGTTTCTGTGATGAACAGTATGTATTTCTTTCAGCATGAGAAAATAACTCCTAATAAATGTGATTCTTAAAGCACTCTCCCCATCTACATCCTTTCCAAGGAGCACCTATGTCCCCTGCTTCCCTCATAGCCAAGCTCATCTAGGACAGTCCTCCCTGGGGGGTTGTGGCCTCACTCCCTGGATGGCCCTGCTGCAGCACAGGGGCTCTTTCCTAGGCACTGTGGACTGGACTCTCCTAGAATCCCCCTCCTTCCTCAACCCCAGACTCTCAGGAGCCCCATCTCCATCCTGGGCACCAAGCTTGTCACCAAGGCCTAGCTGCAGCCACTCTGCTGAGTGTGTACAGCCACCTCTGGGAAGGCTGTACTCCCCCTGATGACCTCTCAGTCTCTGACTCTGGTGGGCTTTGGAGCCACCTACCCACCTTCCGGCTCTACTCAACACCAGCAGCCCGACAACATCAAGCCCTCCAGTTCACAGCACCTCAGCTCTGCAGCTCCCAAGCCACCCAAGCCTGGAACTGGGGACTCAGGGGGGCCCTTCACCCCATCTCCAGCTTGTCCCAGTGCTGCCTTTGCTGTCATCTCTGGAAAGTGACCACTTGTCCCCAGCCTACCACTGCCAGGGTCAGCCCTGGTACTTTTTATCTGGGATGCTGCAGCAGCTTCCCTCTGGAGGCTGAGGTCTGTTTTCAGCCTCGGGGCTCATCTGTCTTCCACATTGCTGCTGGGCATGCTGAGGCCCCACCACACCTCCAGCACCTTCCAGTGCCTCCAGACTCCGTCCCAGCACACCCTCTCCAGCTCCTGCAGTCCCACCAGCAGCTCAGAGCCTCTCCCCAGAGTCACCCTGCTTCCTGAGTGGACCTCTGCCTGGGGATGCCCTTCCAGGTTTTTTTCACCGATTCGTCTTCACTCCTCAGAGGGCAGGTGCTGGGAGACAGGCAACGAGAGGAGGTTGCCTTCACCTTAGGGTGCTCACCCCCTAGGAAGGTGACAAACAAGGGCCCCCCACAGGGTGTCCCAAACTAATAGGTGGATGACTCCAAAGGGAAGATCCAGTCTCCTCTCCCCAAGGCCAGTGAAATTTGGGTTGGTTTTTATTTTTTTAATTTTTTTTTTTTTTTTGAGGCAGGGTCTTGCTTTGTGGCTCAGGCTGGAGTGCAGTGGTGCAATCACAGCTCACCGGAGCCTTGACCTCCTGGGCTCAAGCAATTCTCCTGCCTCAGCTTCCTGAGGAGGTTTTAATTAAAAAAAAAAGAATGAAAAGATAATTTAAAAAAATTTTTTTTTTTTTTGTGGAGAGTGGCATACTCAGAACTTTGCAAACCAGGTTTTCTGGGATGTTGGGTTCCCTGAAGACATTTCTAGCTGTTATTATGAGATAGGATAGGCGGGGTTATGCTGCCTAACAAGCAAAACCGAAAAGGTTTATTTCTCATTCATGCTGTATGCCCCGCCTGGGCTGGGCTTCCTTTTAAGTCATCCTCATTCCTAGACCCAGCCTGTAGCCGCCCCACCATCAGGGGATCGCTGATTACCATGACATGGTGAGAGAAATATGGTTCTTAAAGGTTCTTATCCAGAGTGACATATCTCTTCTGCTCACAATACGTTGACCAAAGCAAGTCACGTGGACAGGAGCAGGGTGATGCAATCCTATATTCTGCCCAAAAGAAGAGCACAAGAAATACTGTTGAATAACATTACCAAAGGCCAGAGAAAAATCTCCAAAACCAGAAATATGTATGACCCAATAAATTCAGGAAATAGTAGGTTAAAGAGAAGGAAATCAGTATATGCACTGTGCGACTTCTCAGTCTTTAATATCTTACATGCATTGTAACCAACTCAGACAGCCCTTAATACACACATTGTAGCTAACACAGCCTTTAATATATTATATACATTGTCTCTACCACGGACAGCCTTTAATATGTACACTGTAACTCTCAGTCTTTATTATACACAGTGTAACTATCAGATAGCCTTTAATATATACATTGTATCTATCTCAGACAGTCTTTAATATATTATACACATTGTAACTGTCACAGACAGCCTTTAATATGTACTGTAACTCTCAGTCTTTATTATACACAGTGTAACTATCAGATAGCCTTTAATATATACATTGTATCTATCTCAGACAGTCTTTAATATATTATACACATTGTAACTGTCACAGACAGCCTTTAATATATTATATACATTGTAACTGCCACAGACAGCCCTTTGCTTGATGGTGGAGTGTGACTTTGTTTTCCTCCTATGCCCTCCGCCTCCTCCAGGGCCTCACACACAATAAGCTCTCAAATATTGCAACTATCTTGCACTCTTCAGGGCAACCTCATGGCTTATCTTTTAGAAGTGGCATACTCAGAAGAATAAGGAGGAAGGATGTGTAAGAAAAGAGGACTGTTTGGGCAAAGAACATCTGGTTGATTCAATGTTTACAGTGTGCCAGGCCCCATGCTTGATCTTATAAGGTCCTCAGACCTTATGCCTTAGACATGGTTATCACCCCCATTTTACAGATAAGGAAATTGAGGCTCAGGGAACTGGCAAAATCCTGTGACATGTGCTTAAAATATATTCAGTCTCCTAGATTATCTGTGAAAATCTCTTATCACAATCTTCAGACCTAACATAGCCTTTTGAGTCTGAGTTGGGGTTGGTGAGATCCCAAAAGCCTCACTTTGGTGGCCAATGGCAGGTTTCCCAGGCCCCAGGAGCTGGGCCTGTTGGCACTGAGCCTAGGGCACTGGGTACCTTTCAAGTTTGGGTTTGTGAAACTGGCTTCAAAATGACACAGAGTGGGTCCTGCTGGGTAAGAGCAAAACAGCATTTTGAGCTTCTCAAATTGAGAAGAAAATTGAGAGACTCTTAAGCCCAGTGGGACAAAAAGTGACTTGGCATACTTCTTTAAAATCCAGATTCTAAGTTCTGTTTTTCTGATTTAGTAACTCAGGACTGAGGTCCCGACATGTATCTATCTGCCTTCCTTCCTTTCCTTCCTTCTTTTTTCCTTTCCTTCCCCCCCTCCCCCTTTTTTTTTGAGAGGCAGTCTCCTTCTGTCCTCCAGGCTGGAGTACAATGGCAGGATCTTGGCTTACTGTGACCTCCAGTTCCCAGGTTCAAGAGATTCTTCTGCCTCAGCCTCCTGAGTAGCTGGAACTACAGGTGCATGCCACCATAGCTGGCTAATTTTTGTATTTTTAGTAGAGACAGGGTTTCACCATGTTGGCCAGGCTGGTCTCAAACTCCTGACCTCAAGTGATCCACCCAGCTTGGCCTCCCAAAATGCTGGGATTACAGACATGAGCAGCTGCCCCCAGCTGATATGTGTATTTTTATTAATCACCTCAAGGCAACTGTGTCATGGCCTCCAGGACACACTAAGAGCAACACTATTGGAGGGTGGAAACACTGGTGATGGTGATGCTGGGGCTGGGGATTGGAGATGATTCACTCTCTCCAGCAGTGTGAGTAGGTGTGGGCACTCCCGGGCGCAGTGGCCATGAAAGAGCATCCTGGGTAGAAGGGCTGTCATCAAAAGCATGGGGCTGGAGCCAGAGGAGGGTGGGGGAGGTGGGGAATATGTTGCCTTCCATTTTCTTCCAACGGAATGAGGATGACATCAAACATTTACTGGGCCAGGCATTGTTCTAGGTGCCAGGAATATAGCAATAAGTCGGGATGGCATGGTGGGCATCATGGAGGGCCTGGTGTTTGGGCAGTGAATTCTCAACACCCCTTGTCTTCCCTCCTGGGTTCTCTCCCGGCTCTCAAGCCTGTCTTTGGGGCTGGGTAGCTTCTGGTCAGAGTCGACGCTGAGCGTGGCTTTTGTCTGCCCTGGTCTGGGGTGGAAGAGCAGTAACTGCAAATTATCCACTGAGTCCCTGCATGGTGCCAGCCACTGTGCTAGGCTCTGGGTTGTGAGTGAAACAGACAGACTGGGGCCCTGTCTTTGCTGGGCTGATGGTGTCATTGGGAAAACAGCTAGATAGGCCAACCTTTGAGGAATACAGTGAGGGAAGGGCAGGGGCCTGGCTGGTCCTGGGTTCTGCCTCTTTCCAGGCAAGAAGGGGCATGTGGACTTGAATATTTAGCTCAGGGATGTTGGAGGCCTAGGGTGCTGCTTTTTAAACGGAAAGGGTGTCAGGGTTTCTGGGAGGGAGTAAAGGGAGAGAAGAGAAGATGCTTCTGTTATCAGGAGGGAGTGGCACATGACATGATACGAAAGCTTCCTCTTTTCCTGTTCTGTTGTCTCTCGTTTCTTTCAATGTATTTGTCACAATGTGTTGTTATTTATTATACCTTTTTCTTTTCTCTTCTCTTTTCTTTTCCCTTTTGAGGCAGAGGAGCTGTCTTGCCACCAAAACATAAGCCCATGGCCGTCTTCTTCACCGATGTGACTGCATCCCAAGCCAGCACTCAGATGGCCCTCCCCTGTAATTACTGGCTGAGGGTGAATGAATAACGGTCATTACCTAGTGTCCACCGTGTGCCCGGCCCTGTCCCGGGAGCTTTGCTTTCCGTCTCTCACAGTAGGCCCTTTTAATCCAACCCCGAGAAAGAGACATGACCATTGTCTTCATTTTGACGATTTTGAGTGGGGGGTTCCAATGACATGAAGGAGCCAGGGCACCAATCCGGGTTTGTGTAGCAGATGCCGGCGAGACCCGGTCACTGCAGACCGGGAGTGGCCGGACCCGGGGTCTCCCCGCTGAGCTTCGGGGCTTCACCGGCGCGTGGGGACAAGCACAGCACCCGCGTGACATCCCAGCGGGCCTGATCTCTTTCAGGCGCCAACCCCGGACGCCAGCCTCCCAGGGGACCCTGTCTCAGACCCATCCTCACCGCATCCTCCAGGCGCCCTCACGCATCCTCCCCGCACCGTCCACAGGCCAGCAGCTTCGCGGACTTCAGTGAACGCTCTTTGCTTGCAGGGTCAGGGCGACCTCAGCGTCCGTGTAAACAGCCGGGTCACAGGCTCATAAGGACCAATGAGCGAAGGCACTGCGAGCCAGGGGGCGGGGATAAGGCGGGGCATCATGGCCGCCCCCAGTGCGCCGCGTCCGGGGGCTTGTGGGAGTTGTCTTGACCTGCAGCTCCGCCACCGCAGACCCGCCTTCTACCCTCAGCAGCAGACGCTCGGTCCCGCCCGGGCAGCTTTGCGAGGCGGCGGCTGGAGAGGGAACCATGGGGACTGTGCACGCCCGGGTAAGAGGCTCAGCGACCCGCGGGCTGCGAGGCCTCTGGGCCAGCAGGGCAGACGGGCGCCACCGGGAGCCACTGTCGTGGCTCCGCCCAGGGTTCCCCCGGAGAGAGGGCGCGGAGGGTGGCGGGCCGGGTGGAGGAGGCCGAAAAAAATGTCGCCTCGAGTTCCGCAGACCTTCGAGCAGGAACCTGATACTCAGGAGGGACGAGACTTGCTCAAGGTCACTCAGCGAGTCCGTGGCCCAAAGGACTTGCGAACTTTCTGTGATGTCTTCGTCCATCGTGAATATGCTCTTTCTTTCCATGATGTGAAGTTTTCTTTCGTTAACTGATCACCTCCAGCCTTTCCCCGCTCAGCCGCTGCTGGAGCTATTGTAGACTCCTAGAGCAACAAGAATGCTTAGAACCTAGCTAGGGGTCTTCTTTTCTCCCGTTTACCGTGCAGAAGATAGAACCGCTCCCTGCCTCACTTCCTTGTTTGAAAGTGGAGATAGTCATAGTACCTTTCTTGCCAGGCAGTAGAGAGAATTAAAAGACAATGCATGTGAATACTTGGGTGCCTGGCGCCTAACTGTACTAACTGCTTGCCAGACTCCTCTCCTTTATCCTAAATCTTAAATAAGGGCCAGATAATGAGTTACTTCTCCAAGATCACTTAGTTACTGCTTCCAAATGGCCCAAAATCTCAGATTTCCCGAGTCTCAGGCACAACACTACTTTACTGCAACAGTTTGGATTATTTCACTTGCCCTGCGCATCGATGTTTTCAGTAGTTCCCCATTAACTTCCAGAAAAATTCAGCACAGAAGTCACGGCCTGGCATCTATAATTGGACTTAACTTCCCTTAATATGTCTTTTTTTCTTTTTTGAGACGGAGTCTTGCTCTGTCGCCAGGGTGGAGTGCAGTGGTGTAACCTCGGGTCACTGTAACCTCGGCCAATGCCTCCTGGGTTTCAGCAATTCTCCTATCTCAGTCTCCCAAGTAGTTGGGACTACAGGCGCCTGCCACCAGGCCCGACTAATTTTTGGATTTTTGGTAGAGATGGGGTTTCACCATATTGGCCAGGCTGATCTCGAACTCCTAACCTGGTTATCCATCCACCCCAGCCTCTCAAAGTGCTGGGATTACAGGCATGAGCCACCTCGCCTGGCCTATATGTTTCATTCAGTTGAAACACCATTTCTCTTCTGACATGGTCTTTGTGTAACTGTAATAGGTCTGTTGCTCCTTGTGCTCAATAAGTCACTACGCTGAGACTGCGCTGCAGCAGAGAAAGTTTCAGTTGCAGGGCCGCTGAACGAGGAGACGGGAAAAGAGAGGAAACCCTAAAATCCATCTCCCCCGGGAGTTTGGACCTCGTGTTTTTGCTGAAGTGTGGAGATCCTTGATTGGTGGAAGAATGCAGGGTGAAGTTATGGAACAGGGAGATGAGGAACCTGTTCTCATGCTGATTCCATTCCTCTGTTGAGGGGTGGGGTCTTCAAACTGGTGGGCAGCAGCAGTTTTGCTGGAATTCAAGATTTTAAAAACATCTAAAGCAATTCTTAAGCAAAAGCCTTAAGAGTCTAATGTTAGAAATCCTATCTGTAAAAACAATGGGAATGTAAATAGTATCTGTGATTTTTGGTCAAAGTGCAACCTGAGCTGTTTTCACCATCTTGGCTCCTGTGGAGGCCTGCTGGGAACAAGACTTCTAAAAGCAAATATGTCTTGAAGGCTGTGGTCCAAGGCCATTTTTGCTGGCTGTACATGGAGTACACTTACTTGAAAGGGAGCACACAGCTCTTCTTAAAATTGAAGGTGTTGACCAGGTGTGGTGACTTATACCTATAATCCCAGAACTTTGGGAGGCCGAGATGGGTAGATTGCCTGAGGTCAGGAGTTTGAGACCAGTCTTGCTAACATGGTGAAACCCTGTTTCTACTAAACATACTAAAAAAAATTAGCCAGGCGTGGTGTCATGCACCTGTAATCCCACCTACTCGGGAGGCTGAGGCAGGGGAATTGCCTGAACCAGGGAAGTGGAGGTTGCAGTGAGCTGAGATCACGCCACTGCCCTTCAGCCTTGGCGACAGAGGGAGACTCCGTCTCAAAACAATAGTAATAAATAATAATAATAATAATAAATAAAATGAAGATGTTTATGCTTGAGATGAAACAATTCTATTTGGGCAAGAGATGTACTTATGTATACAAGGCAAAGAACAACACAGTGACTCCTGGTGTCAAACCAAACAACACCAGAGTAATCTGGGGAAAGGTAACTCAGACCCATGGAAACAGTAGCGTGGTTTGTGCCAAATTCTGAAGCAACTTCCTGCTAAGGCTATTGGACACAGATTACGAATTGTACCCCTCAAGGATTTAAACTTATGAAAAGTCAATAAATAAATGTAAATTTGTGCTCTTAAAAAAAAGGGGGGGGAGCAACCTGATTAATGGTTAATTATAACTACATTTCTTGTTTTTTTTTTTTTTTTTTTTTTTTGAGACGGAGTTTTGCTCTTGTTACCCAGGCTGGAGTGCAATGGTGCAATCTCGGCTCACCGCAACCTCCGCCTCCTGGGCTCAGGCAATTCTCCTGCCTCAGCCTCCCAAGTAGCTGGGATTACAGGCACGCGCCACCATGCCCAGCTAATTTTTTGTATTTTTAGTAGAGACGGGGTTTCACCATGTTGACCTGGATGGTCTCAATCTCTTGACCTTGTGATCCACCCGTCTCGGCCTCCCAAAGTGCTGGGATTACAGGCGTGAGCCACCGCGCCCGGCCCATTTCTTGTTTTTTTTTTGAGATGGAGTCTCACTCTATTGCCCAGGCTGGAGTACAATGGCACGATCTTGGCTCACTGCAATCTTCACCTCCTGGTTCAAGCGATTCTTCTGCCTCAGCCTCCCATGTAGCTGGGATTCCAGGTGCCAGCCACCACACCCAGCTAATTTTTGTATTTTTTTTAGAAACAGGATTTTACCATATTGGCCAGGCTGGCCTCGAACTCCTGACCTCAGGTGATCCACCCATTTTGGCCTCCCAGAGTGCTGGGATTACAGGTGTGAGCCACTGTGCCTGGGCAGTTAGAACTACATTTCTGTGCAGAATTCTCATTAGCCCTCTGAGGGTGGCTTCGTTTGAACGGCATTGTTGCACTGCATTCCCCTCCCATCATCATCTTCAGCATCAAAATATTCCCATCTTTCAGAACTCAGTTCTCGTTGCTTCCTACATAAAGCTCTTTATCTCCCCCTCATTTGGATGGGCTCATACCTTCCCGTGAGTTTTCCTTTGGTGGCATTTACATTCTGCCTTGTTTTGGGCCTGTTTGCATTTCGGCTTATCCTTCAATCCTAAGTATCTAGATGTAATGGCAGGAACCGCATCTTCCTTGCCTTGCATCCCCTGTGGCATCTTGAACAAAGTAAATACTTGTTATTTATTCAACTCATATTTATTGATGGCCTGCTATGTGCCCGGCACTCTGATAGTGGCTCGGGATACAGGGACAAAAGTATCTGCCTTTATGGAGCTCTTTTTACCTCAAAATTGCTGCTTCTTTGATGAGTATATTGAGAAAAGATGTTTTCAGTTCTTTTATTTGACGTTTCGCCCTACTAGCCAGTGTCTTTGAAGCTTTTCAATCAAGACTCACAGTAAGAAAACATTTGCCATTTACCACCTGGTACTGATGCTTATGTCGAACAAAATTTTGTGCATTAGTACTTATAATATGTGTTATGTATTGTTATATTTTCAGTTTTCCTTTTTCTTTTTCTTTTTTTCATATGGAGTCTCGTTCTGTCTCCCAGCTTGGAGTGCAATGGCGTGATCTTGGCTCACTGCAACCTCTGCCTCCTGGCTTCAAGCAGTTCTTCTACTTCAGCCTCCTGAGTAGCTGGGACTACAGGCACGTGCCACCACACCCAGCTAACTTTTATATTTTTAGTTGAGACGGGAGATGGGGTTTTGCTATGTTGACCAGGCTGGTCTCAAACTCCAGACCTCAGGTGATCCATCCACCTTGGCTTCCCAGTGCTGGGTTTATAGGCATGAGCCATCGCGCCCAGCCTGTTGTTATATTTTCTGTTGGATTCTAGTGTATCTCACTTTAAAGATGCTGGTTGTTATTCATTAAGTTTCATGTCCCATCCCCACTGCCTTGCGCATGGTGCTCAATACAGACTTAATGACTGATTGGTAGACTGATCTGCCTAAAGGTTAAAGCTTCATTCATTCATTCATTCGAGACAGAATCTTGCTCTGTTGCCCAGGCTGGAGTACAGTGGCACAATCTCGACTCACTGCAACTTCCACCTTCTGGGTTCAAGCAATTCTGCCTCAGCCTACTGAGTAGCTGGGATTATAGGTGCCTGCCACCACACCTGGCTAATTTTTTTGTATTTTTAGTAGAGATGGGGTTTCACCATATTGGCCAGGCTAGTCTTGAACTCCTGACCTTGTGATTCACTTGCCTCAGGCTCCCAAAGTGCTGGGATTATAGACATGAGCCACCGCGCCTGGCTATTTTATTTTTTGTATTATACGCGCACATACATTTTTTTAAATGGAAACAGGGTCTTCTATATTGCTCAGGCTGGTCTCAAACTCCACACACACACACACACACACACACACACACACACACACACAATATTAGGTTTATGTATATATTTCTCAAGTACACCCCAACAAACCCATCATAGGTTGAAATGTAAGTTGATAATGCGTTTAATACACATATCCTACAGAACATCATAGCTTAGCCGAGCCTACCTTAAATGTGCT